TGCCAGAACTTTTCATCACATGACCATGGGAACGCTGTAACTGGCCACAGATCACTTTTTTCAGTGCTGTTATAACTTCAAATAGTCACTAAATGAATAGTTGTATGTCAACGACTACCAGAAGATAGAAAGTAATGTTTAATGAGTAAAAATGCTTGGTATAGGAAAATGTTTAAAATGCATTTAAACACAAGCTTTCTACTGTAAGATCTTTTAAAGGCAGCTATAGAAGAAAATGTAAATTACCCAATTGCGTGTAATTTTCATCTTAATTACCGTGCTAAACATGAGACCAGGTCCCACTGTGTGTATCTCACATCCTAAAGATTAGTAAGTTGTTGGTTACAAAATTTAGAAGTTATTCTTAAATATTTAATTGGATCAGTATGAAATTCAAGAAAATGTGTACCCCTTTTTTTAATCTCATTCTTAGGAATGAATGGTCCACCATGCTGCTGATCAACAGATATTGGCCAATATCCAGAGCAAACTTTGTAACGGACTTATAATTGCCCAAGTTAATTCTAGCATCTATTAATTTTATCTTGATTCATTACAAAATAATGAAGATTTGTTTCTTGTTAACCTGGTCTCTGCTCTTGCTTGATCATTGTTCAAAAAGAGCATCTTTTTGACCTAGTCATCGGCTGCAATTGTGATTACAGAGACACAAGTGTGTTCCCCCATTACCCTAAATGGTGGTTTGTTTTAAGAAATTAGATTTTAATAGAAATTATATGTAGTACAGAATTGAAGTGTGGAGTCTTTAGTGCTCTCAGAACTTGGTTGTTTGCTTGCAGATGTTTCATTACCCAACTAGATAACATCATCAGTACTAATGAGTATGGAGTTTGCTACTTTTTATGTACAGTGGCTTCCCCTGCCAGTGTTGATGGGGATGTGCTTTTCTCCTTGATAGGCACTTGATTAAGAAACTAGAATTAGCTAAACTTCCATTCCTAATATAAACCATGATTTACTAACTTACAGCAATGTGTCTTGACAAGTCATGCAAATGGGACTTATTTTTAATATTTTTAAAAAATCATGCATTAATCTATAATATAATTTACTCCCATATGTTTCTTACAAACATATCCCAAGGTCTTCTTTTTGTCCATATGGTGAATCAGCAGCAATGCTACTAATTAAGGGTTGAAATAAGTTTTTTAGCCATGTGCTATACAAAAATAGTATAGGTAGGATTTCCAAATATAAACTACAACACCCATAGTGTTGTTCTAGTGACTAGTAGCACCTTTTTTATGATATACTGCTTTACTACTCCTAATAAAGGCTGTGGAAAAAAAACAGAAATCCAGCAACGTAATTTGTTTGTCTTTTATATTTATTTCAGTGATTTATATTGTTTTATGCGTGTTATTGTTTTAATACACATCTTGTGTGTCTTTAAATTTCCTATTATTTGCTCTCTTGAATATTTTTCATAAAGGTAACTTATAAATTGTATTATTATGATGATTTAATCCACATTCTGAACCATCTTTTTCCCATCCTTAATTCAAGCACAGGTTAGAATTGTAAAGCTTACAGCTCTGTGTGCTTGTTCATCTATAGAGAAACAGAAGAACATTAATCTACTTAAACCATTTATTTGAATACTTTGTAGTTACTAAAGGTGCACTAATAAACATAAACATAAAAAAGAATATGTGAAAGAACAATGAACATAGAGTAAAGAGAAAGAAAAATGATGACCTGAAGGCAGGACAAGAAGCAATGAATGGAAACTATCCAAGGAAAGAAGCAATCTAGAACTAAGGAGAAATTTCCTGACAATTAGAACAGTTAATCCGTGGAACAACCTGCCTCCAGAAGTTGTGAATGCTCCAACACTGGAGGTTTTTAAGAAGAGACTAGACAGCCATTTGTCTGAAATAGCATACGGCAAGGATGTCAAACTCAATTTAATTGAAGACCACATCAGCATTATGGCTTGGCTGCCCTCAAAGGGTCAGATGGGTATGGCTGTTGCATCGCTTCCCCAAAAGCAAAGACATTTATTATGCTATAAGCCAGGGGTCTTCAAACTTGGCCCTTTTATGCTGGCTGAGGAATTCTGGGAGTTGAAGTCCACAAGTCATAAATGGGCCAAGTTTGAAGAGCCCTACTATAAGCATTCCTTACCGCAGTCTGTTTCATCAGACACAGTTGGTTTGTCTGTGGCAGTTGTGAGCAGTTATATCAAAGGGAAATGAAATACTGAAGCATAAAGAATGATAATTCTGTTATTAATTGTAGCTATTCACAATGGTGTTGAAAAAATTAATTATATAATAAGGTACAGAGCAAGCATCTACTCTCTTTCTGGCAAATGCCTTTGAGTTTTGTCTTCCAGCAAGTCAACCTGTGTTCACTTTTGTCAACACTGTTCTGCAAACAAAGTGTGATCACATGATTTAACTACAATTCTTTTTTCGACCTCCCTTCAGCAATAAGAGTTTGCCATTGAAACAGTACAATAGTTTCTTCAGCACGGATTATTTTCCCCCCTGAGAAAAGGAAACCTTATCCATTTAACAGTACAGTAATAAGTGGAAGTAAAAAAAAAAAAAAAAAAGCTAAGATGCCTCAAAGCAAGATTTACAGGAGAGCGTTTCAGATGCCTGTAGGGTTTAAGACATGAAGGATGTTTGAAAGAGGGAACCAGCTCCAACACTCATAGGAATCAGCTTGTTAAGAGACTCACGCTGGCTTTTTCAAATCATGCAGTGCAAGAAAAGAATTATAAAAAAGGAGGTGCGTGAGATGGAAAGATATCTACAGTTGTTAATTCCCACCTCTCCCTAATTTTTGTCAGGCTCCTTCCCGGATCCTTTTTCATTCAGATACTGGATAACTCCAGTAAGAAGCAAATGATGCAAGATAATGGAGACAAAGATCATCAGGTAAGAAGAGTGCAAGAGGTGATGATGGGGAGGAAGCATACCAGCAGATTAAAATGCACAGGGGAATTGCTAGGAAGGGAGAAAGAAAGTGCAAGGAAACAGAGAAGAGGTTGAGAGTAAGCTGTTTTGCAAGCTGCGGATCAGACACTTAAAACTGAAAGACAGTGGCTTCCTGGGAAGGGAAGGAAGATGGGAACTACATGTAATGCACGAGATGCTACATGGAATGTGCTAGAGATGGATTATGGCAGGGGATTATGGTTGAGGACCTCTGGATTATGGGATACTGAATTCACAGCAGAACAGTCTTTTTCAAACTTCGCAATTTCAAGATGTGTGGCCTTCAACTTGCAGCATGCTGGCTGGGAAATCCTGAGAGCTGAAGGATTTTAAAATTTTCCAAGTTTGAAAAACACTGCTGTAATATTAATATAAACATTACAAAGAGCTTATATTTGTTTATATTTACTGCCCTTTAGTGGTTGTCTGGCATTTTGCATCCCAAATCATCCTAGATTGCATAAGATCATTAAGGACTACCATGCTTCTTCTTGTGCCATATCCGTTATCGGACGTTGGCGATCATGTTGGCAATCCTGTTTTTATCAGCAGCCGCACGAAAAAGTGCTGCTGAGTTTTGTTCAAACCAATCCCTTGGATTTTGAAGCCACAATGTTCTTCTTCTGCCTGGACCTCGTTTGCCTTCAATCTTTCCCTGGAGGATTAATGGAGTATGCCGTATTTTTCTGGGTGTCGCATCTCATGTCCAAAATATTCTAATTTTCATTTTTTAATTGTTCTGATGATTTCCCTTGGCTTTCCCAGGCGGCTTATCATCTCCTCATTTCTGATCTTGTCAGCTTATACGTAACAGCCACCTGTAAATCCACATTTCAAATGCTTATAGTTTGTTCAGGTGGCTTTCTGTCAACTCTCTACTCCATAGAGCAGGATAGAAAAAATATAGCATCTGACAAGCCTGATTTTCAGTCTTAGGCTTATGTCGTAACTGCAGAAGACCGTTTTCATTTTGAAGAATGCTGTTCAAGCTTTCTCTATCCTTGTCATGATAGTAGCAATCTGTAAAAGGTTGGGGGTGCCTAGATGAAATCAAAAGTTGGAACAGAAAGAAGGGATGCGTACGTGGCATTTATAGCAGAATTGGTGATAGGAGCAAAGCAATGTGAAGGGCTGTTTGCTCCATACAAAGGAATTGCATTTTAAGAGTTGCTTCCTAATGGTCAAGTTGGGGAAAGGATGAGACTGGATATGAGGATAGGTATGGGAAAATTCCCCAATTGATGGGTGAAGACCACACTATCTGCTTGAGCCAAGTTTTTCAAACTGCACAGGGAACAGAGTTCTGTCCACCAAAGGAAGGTACAAATAACCTTTATATAAATATAGTTCCATAATAAATGCTGATTACTAATGGCATTAATAAGCCAATCATCATAGTATTTTGAAACCAAGAATTAGATTTATGCTTATGGTGTAAAATTCTGCAAAAATCAGTGTTTCCCATTTCGCATCTAAAAATACTAGTATTGTTGCAATAAAAGAGAAGCTGGCTGGTTCTGTAACTTTGTATTCGTATGTCTAGGCAAACTAATTGGACAAATTAATTGAGGTGAAAGTTTTTAAGAGTCTTGGCAAGTTACAGGTTTGGGTTCAGGTGTTAGCACTGGTTCTACCCCCGCTGCGGATTTCCTAAGGCAGTCCTTGTTCCTGCTTCCTACATGCCAGTACAAGACTGCCATTTATCCACGCCTTCCATATTGTGCGAAGGTGTGGCAAGCAGGAATCAGCCACGGGCCTTGCCCTTCCAAAGTGTCCTTGAGCAAGTGCAGAGTGCCTCAGAGGCGCCACAGCCCAGACTTTTCCTACTTCGGGTCCCCCTTCCCCCTTTCGCATGAATCGGAATGGTGAAACCGGGGCAGGTAAGGCAGCCAAGACAGGAGCGGATCCCAGACCCCGCTGCGCTCAGGACCTGCCAGCCGCACCACCACCTACCGCAGCTGACGCGACTCCCTAGCCTCCGCGGCCCGCCTCTGCCTCTGCCCCTCCCGGCTGATGGCCGCGAGGGGGAGGCGCCTGGGCACCAAAGGCCGCCGCGGCCTCTCCGGGGCCGCTCCCAAGACCTCGGGGACAGGCGCGAGGGAGGCCGCGCGCTTCCCGCACCGGGCCCGGAGCGGGCGGGGGAGGTGTAGCCGGAACAAGGGCCAAGGCGAGATATTCACCGGCGAAGAGGAGGCGGGGATCGGGCTGCCCCGGCCTCCCGTAACGTTATGCCTGTACTCCTGCCCCTCTGCGGGGCAACCGGCCGGGTGTTTTGCAGGCCCGGCCTGGCGGGGAGGAGTCCTCGAGGTCGCGTTGCTGAGCTTCCCAGCCGCCGAAAGGCCGTGAGGTGCCCCGAGCGAGAGGAGGAGGAGGAGGGAGAAGGCAGGAAGGGACACAGCCGCTTCGTTTTGAACCTATGGAAGGTGAGAGACCGTCTCCGGGACCCGTCGGAGCTCAGTCTCCGAGTCAAGGGCGCCAAACCCGCTTGAAAAAAGTCGTCCCCGCCCCGAAAAAAACGACCCCGCTTTGGCTTGAAAGCGTCCCCGAAAAGCTGCTTTACGGTTTTCCATCCGAGCCTCCGACCGCATGAATGTATCGAGCAGCTTCTCTTCCTGATCCCTTGTCTGTTTCTCATTTAATTTCTTCAGATTGCACGTTTGGTTCCCCGCCCCGATTCTGCCTTGGAGTTTTATATTAAAGATTTTTCTTGGAGGGAACTTCTAGGCTGATGGAAGTTGTAGCTCAGCATTATCCAAAGATTTCAGACTCCTCCACGCATAAATATACTCTGTAGGCAGCCTGTTGGAGAAAAAGAAATCTTTCATTTGCTTTAGAATAAGCTCCCCAGGATTGCTTTATGAAGCTATTGTATATTTGTCTCACAGACAACCTGTGAAATAAATTACATTTTAAATTTTTTCTTGGAACATGAGCCCAGATACAAATTCAATACTGGTTCCTTTTATACTGCACTATGCATGACAAAGAACTACACTCAGGTGTAGTCCACGTAAGAAACAAGGATGTATGCTGAGCCATCCAGGGGACTTCCCCTCTTGCAATCCAGGGGAAAGCAAGCTCATTGTACTTCTTGGCAATGCAACAACCTTTCACCAGAAGTCTTCCACATCTGACACTTGGAAAAACGTTAAGACTAGCATTCAGTTAAGATCAGTCATCCGTATGCCTATTACATTGTTTTTGTTTTTAATATGTTCTAAAAGAGTTGGACAGTTTTAAAGATTATTTCTAGAGTTATTTCTGTATTTTTGTTATAATTTTGTTTTTATTGTACAATATTATGAGTCCATGTGGCTGTATATAAATAAATAGTATTAATTTGGGGAAACCCAGGTTTAAATCTTTTCTCGCTTTATGAGTTCACCCTATTAGTAAACCAAAGAGTATTGATAAAATATAAATTATAAGGGAGATTATTTTTCATCTCTTTTTCGTTTCTTTCTTAGTTTGTAGTCTTTGTATGCGGTCTCTTTTTCTAATAGTTTTCCTCTATTTTTGTATTGGTTTCTTTTTTTCTTTAAGTTTAAATACTGTTTTGTCAATTGTATAAGTTAAAAAAGTTAAATGAAAATATTAAATTTTTAAAAAGTAAATTAAAAAAGAAAGATTTGCTAGTTAGATCTGTAGCTGTAGCAGTCACCCATCTATCTCAGAATTGTGAATTTAAGAGGAAGGCAGTCACATATATTACCATATATGCTGGCGTATTAGGTGACCCGGCTTATAAGACGACCCCTGTCTTTATAGCCGGGCCGCATTCCTAGAACGTCGTCTTATACGCCGGAAACTACCAGTATTTCCGTCGTATAAGACGACTCGGCGTATAAGATGACCCCCGTCTTTGGCGCCGATTTCAGCGCTTGCGGAAGTCGTCTTATACGCCGGCATTTACGGTATGTACAATAATGGCTCTTTCCCTTTATATTGTGGCTAAACTAGCCCATAACATATCTAATAGTATGCAGTATACATGATAATTCTGATAATGTGTAATCATTATAGATATTCTTGTGCTAAAATGCAAATAAAAAATAAATTCAGCAAGTAATTTGCTCAAGGCCATCCTGTGGACCTATAACTAAGAAAGAATTTGGATCTTGGTAGGGTTTTTTTTTTTTTTAAGGTTCATTAATGCAACATGCTGCCCACTATTATACCATGACTTTGATCTTGTATAAGTTAAAGAATATTGACAAAGTGTAAACATTATCTGGTTTGATTGGTTTTGATTTAACATGTTGGATAAACTCAGGCAAAGTGAATGCTTTATAAACTTTTTCTTATGTCTTAGTGAAGTATGTGAAGCCAGCCAATGAGCGTGTGCTTTTCCAATAAATTGGAAACAAATTATGGCTCAATATGATTGATTCTTCCCCCTCCCAGGAGACATCCACCCTACTGATGTTCAAACAGCAAAGTGAAACAGGTAGTGGAGATTGTTTAGAACAGTGGTTCTCAACCTGTGGGTCGGGACCCCATTTGGGGTCGAATGACCATTTCATGGGGGTCACCAAACCATGCTGTCCGCCATTTTTTTCCCTTTTCCCTAGCTGTCCTACTCCCTCTTATTGGTGGCCACACCCACTTGGGGGTCACCACAACATGGGGAACTGTATTATGGGGTCACGGCATTAGAAAGGTTGAGAATCACTGGTTTAGAATTTTGAGTTCAGAACACAAATTATGTGATCTAAACTCAGTTATGAGACTAATATAGGCAAAGTCAATGAGGAAAGTAAGATTTCCTTAATGACTACATGATTCACTTAACTTCAGTTATTTGCTTAACAATTGTAGCAGAAAAGATCATATAATGGAGTACAACACACTTAACAACTGAGCTGCCTTGCTTAACAATGGAAATTGTGGGTTCATTTGTGATCATAAGTCAAGGAATACCTGTATGGTATTCTTTTAATGTCTGAATAATAGACAAAATCAGTCATAGAAAGGTTTTTATTTTCTTCCATTCAGTCATGTCCAATTTTTGGACAAGTCCCTGCAGTTTTCTTGGCAAGGTTTTTCAAAAGTGGTTTGCAATTGCCTCCCTTCTGTGGCTAAGAGAAAGTGATTGGCCAAAGGTCGCCCAGCTGGCTTTATATCTAAGGTGGTACTAGAACTCATGGTTTCCCAGTTTCTGATTGCTGGTTCTACTACCGGTAGCATATTGACAACAATTCTAATTAAATACTAATATTTACATCTTCTGCAAAATATTTTCACAATTTTCAGTTGGTAATATCTTCCAAAACTCTTGCACATAGATATTTAAAAATAATTATTTAAAAAGTTTTCTCTTGATTTATTTTTATGCGTCTAAAATGTTTAGGATAGTTTTTAATAAGCAAACTATCTGCTTTTCATTATGCATTTGAAATTTGTTGACTTCATGATTTGAACTGTAGTTTTTCTCACTAAATTATTGTCAGTTATCAGTAATTATAAAAAATTACCCATTAAGTAAAATATTGTGTTTCTGTGCATCATCTGTTTTGTTTCTAAGTGGAATTCATAGATTTTAGTTGTTTAATTAGTAAGTGAGTGGTGTGGTGGCCTAATGGTGAAGACACTAGCCCAGGGGTAGGTAACCCAAAACACTCAAAGAGCCACTTGGACCCGTTTCCCACCGAAAACAAAACACTCGGAGCCGCAAAAAGGTCTCTCTCTCTCTCCCTCTCCCTCTCTCTTTTTGCCCTTAGTCTGCCAGTCCTCTTCCCCCACTCTCTTTCTTTCTCTTTTTCCTCTCTTTCTCTCTCTGTCTCTTTCTCTCTTTCCTCTCCCTCTCTTTCTCTCTCTCTCCCTCTCTTTCCTCTCCCTCTCTCTTTTTCCTCTCTTTTTCTCTTTCTCTCCCTCTCTCTCTCTTTCTCTCCCTCTCTCTCTCCCCCCCCTCTCTCCGAACTTCTGCTCACCTGGCAAGCTGACTTCAAGCTGTTCTCCAACAAGCTCAGGGGCTCTTTTATGACTCATGAACTTCAACTCCCAGAATTCCTGAGCCAGCATAGCTGGGTTAGCTAGCTCTCTCCTGCCCTTCCTGCTTCCTGCAGAGACGCAGCCAAGGCAGTAACCTCACCCAGTAAGCTTTTCAGCTTGTCAGAGAACACCGTGAGTCCACTCTCTTTTATTTACACACACAAACAAACATACAGAGAGAGAGAGAGAGAGAGATGCAGGGGAAGGCTCAAACAGCCACATGCGGCTCCGGAGCCGCAGGTTGCTGACCTGTGCACTAGCCTCTCCCACTAGGTAGGTTGAGAGTTCAATCCTAGGTGGCAGCAGATGTTTCTCTCTTGGGTGCAAAGAAAAACTAACTATCTGTTCTCCATGTGGCATCAGGAAGGGCTTCCGGCCAGTAAATGCTCAATTCCATCCAGTCACCCTGACTCTTCTCCAAATTAAGGGATTACAGGATTGTAAAAAGGGAGATATTTTTTTAATTGTTTAATAGGAAGTATTATGTGACTTTATTGTATTATTTCTTTCTATACATTAAAATATTTTGGAAAGATACAGTCAACTGGGGTTGTATTTCTTTATTATCTACTTTGAGAACTTGTAGTTCATTGTTGCTGTAAGTGGTCAGTTTTAATGTTATAAACATTTCTGATAAATTCATATATAAACCAGAGACAAAATGCTCTAAAAAAATCAGTTGGTTTAAACAATAGGGATACTAGTTAGATAATTTGTTATAATCAAAACAGATCTCAGAGAATCTATATAGTAGATTAATCTGGACCATTTGAGCTCTCTTACCAGGCTTGACATATGTAGGCTACTAAATTTGCCCCCATGTCTTTTTACTGTTAAGTATTTACAGACCAGCTGTTGCATGTTTAAGTAGCAGTACATAGTTTTGAGAAGTATGATGTTGGACTAGACGTTATCATTCTTTCCTATGTAAGAAGCTCATCTAATCACAAGTAATTGTATGATGGTTCAGTCAGAATAGCAAGCAGCCTATTTATTTATGTACAATAGTGGAGTTTTATTTTAATATATATATGTAATTAATATTTTGCAGAAAATTACAAAACTTTATTAAACTCCAGCTGAAATACCTAAAAATTATATGGTTATCAAAATGTCACTAATTCTTTTTTTTATATAATGTTTTATTGATTTTCTAATTTTACATTTAAGTATTTAAAAAGCAACGTGGCGGCTGAGTTAATCGATAATTCAGTGATATACAAGTATCTTTAGTACAAGTCTCAAACTACCACATTAAATATTTCCTCTCTTTTCCCCTTAGTATTTACTGTCTCATGTTTAAACTAATACAATTCTTATTATATAAATTAAATAAAAATAACATTCCTACATTTATCAATAATTTTTAGCTTGTACATATCCTGATTACTTTAACATTCAGTCTTTATAGACAATCAATGTCCCAATTAGT